TTTTGTAATTAAATTACGTAATTCCGTTACATGTAACTAGTTACTCCCCAACACTGGTCTTGATTGTACATGCCGGAATGCCCCCCAAGAGATCATTACAATAGTCCAGTCTGGAAAGAACAAAAGCTTGGACAAGGAGTTGTGTGGCCTGCTCTGATAGGAAGGGTCTAATCTTCCTAACGTTGTATAAGGCAAATCTGCAGGGCCGGGCCATTGCAGCAATAAGGCCTTTGAAACTTAACGAAACCTCAGGAGGACACGGCGGAAAGAACAAAAGCTTGGACAAGGAGTTGTGTGGCCTGCTCTGATAGGAAGGGTCTAATCTTCCTAATGTTGGATAAGGCAAATCTGCAGGACCGGGCCGTTGTAGCAATATGGTCTGTGAAGCTTAACTGATCATCAATCACAACTCCAAGGTTCCTGGCTGTCCTGGAAGTTGTTATGGTTGAAGAACCTAGCTGTATAAAGAAGTTCTGATGAAGTGCTGGGTTGGCTGAGACCATGAGCAGATCTGTCTTAGCAAGGTTGTTGAAGGTGATGGTCCTTCACCCCCCCAAAGACACTCTGAAGGACCTACCTGAGAGGTAAGACTTGAACCACTGAAGTGTGGTTCCTGAGATGCCCATCTTCATTAGGGTGGACAGGAGGGTCTGGTGGTTAACTGTGTCAAAAGCAGCTGACAAATCCAGCAAGATGAGTACTGAGGATTTGTAAGATGCTCTTGCCAGTCTCAGGGCTTCAGTAACTGAGAGCGGGGCAGTCTCAGTTGAGTGGCTGTTTTTGAAGCCAGATTGGTTGTTGTCCAGGAGGTTGTTCTGTGTGAGAAACATGGAGAATTGGTTGAACACAACTTGCTCAAGTGTTTTTGCAATGAATGGAAGAAGGGATACCAGTCTGTAGTTTTCTAAAAGTGCTGGATTTAGAGAGGGTTTCTTAAGCAGTGAGGTTTCCCGATCCTGCTTAAATGCTGTGGGAAATGTACCAGTGTGAAGAGAGGTGTTGATAATGTGAGTGAGCGCAGGTATAACTGAAGAAGAAATGGCCTGAAGGACGTGAGTGGGGATAGGATTAAGCGGACAGGTAGTAGGATGATTGGAAAGGATAAGATTGGAGACATCTGCCTCCGAGAGTGGTGAGAAGGAGAGAGAGTGTGTATTTGTTGCTATGATGTGTTTGTCAGTTTGTGGTGAGGAGAATTTTCCGCTGATGGTTCTTGTTTTATTTATGAAGAATATTGTAAAGTCGTCAGCTGTAAGAGTTGATGAAGGGGGGGGGAGAACAAAGATTGAAGAAGTTTTGAAAAGGTTGCGAGAGTCAGAGCAATTGTTAATTTTGTTGTGTTAGTTTGTCATTTTAACAGTGGAGACTTTTGCAAATAAGGAAGAGAGGAGTAACTGATACAAACTAAGATCAGTAGAGTTTTTTTATTTGCACCACTTCCTCTCTGCAGCCCTGAGCCTAGAGATATGTTCACAGAGAACATCGGAACATTGTCTAAACAAGATGTTAGAGTGGAGCAAAGAGTGTCAGTAGCAGTGTTAGTGTCCAGTGCTGAAAACTGAGAGGGTGGAGGAAATGAGGATGAAACAATAAAGTATAGGCGAGAGGGAGAGAGTGAGCGTAGGTTATGCTGAAAGGTGACCTGCAGAGAAGTGTGTGTTGTGTCAGGAGTCAGTTTGAAGTTAAAAGTAATGAGGAAGTGGTCTGAGGTGTGTCAACTAACGTGTTGTCAGTGGAGCAGTATCATGTGTAGATAAGATCTCCAGATTTTAAATCACAAACTTTCAGCTCCAGCTAATAAGCAGCCATTGAGATAAACAGGAATGCTAATGGGTAGCTTTCTCAAGGTATTACAGACCTGCTTGGTTTGACAACAGTCATTATGCTTGGCACAGAAATTACACACTTCACCTCTTAGTATTCTTTTACAATGCATTATTCTATTTTCTTTAAGCAAAAGCTGTCATTTTGAACACCAAAACGGAAACCAAAAATGACAGCCAAAAAAAAAGACCCCTAATAGACTAACCCCATGAAAGCAGAAGGTACTGCTTGCCTGCTATCTTTCTTCTCGACCTGAAAGTCTAGTGAAACAGACTGCATGGAGCAGAGAGACTAGAGTAAATCTGTCTCCTACATGAAAGCGTCTTTGATAGGCCTCTACTCTCATCTCATCTCCACAAGCATGCCACTAATGTTCTGCCTCCCAGCCAAAATATCCCCAGCAACACCTGGCACCATGAAGAAAAAAAAAGTGATTAAATCATTAGAGAAGCACATGGGAGGATGGAAAAGAGAGAGTGGGAGAGCAAAGAGGTAACGGGGCAGGGATGAACAACTTCATAAGCTTGGCACTGCGTTCCTGGTGCCGTGCCCATTGTGTATGTCCACACACATCAAAGGCTGCAGTAATCGCTGCTGTTTGTGGGCCCACATCTCCAGTTCACCTTGCCTGGCCTGTTATACGCTATGGGCCAGAGCAGTGCCGGAAGACGGCATTCCTCACTGAGCAGGCCAAGAAGTGTGTGAAACTGGGCATTAGAATGCCAGTACGCCTAATGAACGAACGTTAGGAGATGAGCTTCTCATAACACAGCGTTTGGAGCAGCTACAGGTCTTCACCAGGAGCCTGATGTATAAACGTTGCGTATGCACAAAATGGGTATGGAAATGTGCGTACGCAATTTTCCACGCACATATCGGGATTTATAAAAAAATTAACTAGGCGTAAATATGTGCGAACCGTACGGACATTCTAGACCATGCGTACGCACTCTGTTACTGGAGGGAGAGAAATAAGGAAGCAAACAGAATTATTTTTTTAAGTCTGTTTTACATTTGACATACACGTTTAGATTAAATATGACACTCTGAATGATGAAGTTAAGCACTGACATTTCATGAAATTATTATCCAGAAATTACAAAATGTTTATTTGAATTTAAACAGAAATATTTGCAGTGGATGTTCTGCTTTCGAACAATTTTCCTGTGGTATGCGATTTAATGTTTTAATCACAGTGTAGCGAATCAGCTCATGGGGAAATATGAATAATTAATCATAACTAGTTATAATTAATTATAAATATTTAGATCCGCTGTAGATATTTACTTGACCTCTCAGGGTCAACTGTCTGTCAATTCTAAGAATGTTAATTTCCTGGTTAAGGGAAATAACTTTCTTACTGTACAACTCTACACAGAGCCTGTAGCATAAATCTGCAGTTATGAGCAAACAATGACCAACGTCAAGTGTGATACAAGTAAGACTTTATTAACTACATAAACACTTAAACTAGTCTAACATACACATACACACACACACACACACGCATACAGTTGGTATAGGAAAAGGGTTAAAGCTTAAGCAGTAAAGAGGAGAGAAATAAGGAATGAAGTTATGGAACCATTTGCATATTCAGCAGATCTACACCTGAGGGAAACGTCAGATTCTTAGTTCAAACACACCTTTGTAAAAAGGTGCAAATGATACCTAATGTATCAATTAATAAGACTAAGTTTGAATACTTGCACGTCTCGTCTGTCTGAAAGAGAGGTTTGATGCAATCTGAAGGTTCAAGTTGATCTTTGCTGAAGTTGGTTGATGAAAAAGAACCAGTTTGAGGGCACCCAGTATGTTTATTGGGTGAGGGGTCTGTGAATGTTTGTTAATCTAATGAATAATTGATTTGTTAAATCAAATGAAAAATGGTGTGTCTGATTGGTCCAGACGCTACAACAGCGAGGATTGCTTAGTGTATGACAATTCCAATTAAAAAAAGACTAAATAGCAAAACGAATAATGATCATTGATGTGAACTTGATTCGTCTGATGGCTTTTAAAATATATGTTTACCTGTTAGGCAAATTGCATAAATTAGAATAGTGATGTCTCAAAAAACACATTTATAGCCCGTATCTCATATTTTCCTAACGTATTCCTACCCTTAACTGCGTTAAACATGGTGTCACGTGGATGGAATATGCATGGAAATGATATGCAGATGACGTTATGCATATTAAAACTAGGTGTTGTAAGCTCCATAAATGGCTATTTCGAGGAGGAGACGGGGTGGAGATTCATGTACGCACAATCTTCCGCTGACTGGGTATTACAAAAGTAATTTTACGCAGGTTCTGGCATACGCATGGCTTTATAAATCTGAAAACTTTTGTACGTATGCAAAATCTAGCTTTTGTGCGTACGCACACATTTAGGATGAAATCTACGTAAAGTTTTATACATGAGGCCTGCTGGTGGAGTGGCCTCGCGACAGGCCTCCGCTCCGGACCGCATCCTCGGGCTTGCTTGAGCAGCCGAGCCCAACCCGAGCAAATGTTTACTGGGTCTAAACGTCCATCTGTGTCCCTCGGTGCCCTCTGAATAAGTGTAAAGTCATATAAAAACACTGTTAAGAAGAATGTGGCAATGTGGTGTTTGAATTCACAAACCTAACTCTGCAATTATGTTTTTCTGTTACAGGAAACTTCAAAGGATTGTGTAAGCAGATAGATCACTTTCCAGAAGACACAGATTATGAAGCAGATGCCTCAGAGTACTTCTTACGTGAGTGCCTCCTTAGTGTTTCTGTGACAGTATTCATGTTCTCACCATCTTGTTCTTTCTTGTTCAATCTGTGAGGCATTTCAAGTAGTACCAGATATGCTATTTTTGCCCAAGTGCTGTAACTGCTGAAAGGGGGGGGGGATGTAACCTACATGTACAATCTTTGAAAAACTGAAAAAGTCCAAAAGTTTGGATAAGGTTATTACCAGGCCCGCAGAACTCTGCAGATATCCCATTATTCATAAAGTTATACATTTTCTTGGCTAATAATTAAATAAAACATTAAAAGGGTCATGAACTGAGAAATCAAATTTCCCTTGATCTTTTGACATATAATAGGTCAGCATACTATAAAAACATCTTGTAAGTTTCAAAACTCAAAACTTTCTCATTAGTTTAAAAACAGCTTTTATTGAAACCAAGCTCAGAAAACAACTCGTTTTGGAATGTGCCACATTATGACGCAATAGTGTGGCTAAGCACCGCCTCCGCAGGAGAAGATCAACACCTGCTTCTACATCACCGCCTCTTAGCTCCGCCCACTGATGTACGCCAGTAGTATAAGGAGAGGAAATACTAGAGAGGCAAACACAGGATTACTCCATCAACAGAACCATACAGATGGCATTATAAGATTACAAGACACTGTGTAGTGTAAATTGAGAAAAATTGTCTTTGAATTGCCTTCCTTGTGATCCTAACATATCTAGATTGGACGCGAGTGCTATTGCGTCATGTTACAAATAAATTCCTCTTTCAGGTCAGAAGCGGCGCGGATGCTTGTATGTCAGAAATAGAGCAGGACATCAGTTTACTGTTGGAGATTGGTTATGTCAATCCGTGCCACATCCAGTGTAGACAGAATCACAGATTATAATGGGTTCTGTTGTCTATAGTCGCGTTGCACTGCTCGCGTCTGGTGTAAACACGGGGTAAAATTAGCAAAGAGCTCTAGATCATATCAGTGAAACACTGTTTGTTTGCTTGTTTTACTTTGCTATGGATTCATTTTTAAACAAGACAGTGATGCAGGCTTTTCAGAGAGACTGAAAGTAAACGATGATGCAGTGCTGAGACTGACTAGAGTGGATCCAACAGTAATGTCACAACACATAAGTGTGAGTAAACGTGCTTTTACAACTATTGCAGTGTCTGTTCCAGACCATTTGATATATACTGAGTATTTATACGTTTTTATCCCAAATGACCCATGTTGTTTTCAGAGTACGTCAAAGCAGCGTCCATCTGTTATTTTAATAAACTAAACTGTTAGCCAATCACAGCAGTGGGCGTTTACTTGCGAGTCTTGAATGTGCCCTGCCTATAAAAACAGAGCGTTCTGCAGAGAGGCTCAAAAACAGGATAGAAAATAGCCTATTACTTCTAAATTATGCCTATTACTTCTAAATTATGATGTTTTTGTCACATTATAAGTGAACCTCAGAGAACATTATAAAATATATATATTTTTTAAATGCAGTTCATGAACTCTGTAAAATTGTTTTATTAAAATAAAAAAGAAATTGTTTAAAAAATGGTTATTCTTTATTTTTTAATAAAAAAATTTAATTAAACATTACAATTGTATTAATAATAAAAAAATAAATATTGTGGATTATTTTAGCAACCAATAAGATTGTAGTACTCTAACAGCTGTTTAAAAAATGCTTTGCTTTTTTAATTAAAAATTTAATCAATTATTAAAATATTATTAATAATTAAAAATACAAAATATTGTGGATTATTTTAGCTATCAGTTACAAATAGGAATGTAATACTCTAACCACCGTTTAAATGAATAGTTATTCTTTATTTTTTATTTAAAACTTTAATCAAATATTAAAATTGTAATAATAATTAAAAATACTAAATATTGTGGGTATTTTTAGATTTCAACTACCAATACAATGTAGTACTATAATTGCTGTTTATAAAGAGTTATTCTTTATTTTGTAATGAAAATGTAATATAAATATTATATTAATAATTAAAAATATGAAATAAGAAACTACCAATAAGAATGAGATCTTTAAACAATGTTTACTGTAAATTATTTTTAGAAAATTCAGCAGATTTTCTCAAAAAACATTTTCGAAAAGTATAAAGGAATTTTTTTTAAAAAACTCTAAATGACTTTACACTGAATTACAATGAATTACACTAAATGAATGCAATAGACCTGTATTTCAAGTAATCTCCAAGTCTTTACTTTGTTCCACCTATCTTTGGTTTTCTCATGCTGTTCAGCCGTGGTAGAATGGTCTGTTGTCTCTGCAGGAGAGTGTGAATGTTTCCTCACTCTGTTTAGACTCTCAGCAGCGGCAGACTCTCTAGCTCGTACAGTACGGCTCAACTAGGCCCGATTACAGTGCACTGGCTCCCTCGTAAACACATAGCATTGATTTCCACTCTTTTTTCGTCTGCTCAAGCAGACCCGGGAAGTGAGTGTCAAACAAGCCACGTGCATCAGTCCTAAACTCACAAGCAGGACTATCAGTTACTGTCATCAAAACAAGGGCCTGAATTGACCAGAAACAACATGGTAACAACCAACAGTAATTAAAGATTCTGGAACAGTTGGCAGGAAAACAATGGCAGGAGAGAGAAGGAAAATTAGTCTAAAGGGTCGTTTATACAGGGTACGTCCTGGTTTTTGGATTGTTTAAAAACTTACTAAAGCTGTGTTAATGTCATCAGTGAAATTACTGACGAACAATGAAGAAAAAACAAAAAAATGTGCATCATGACAATAATTCCTTGATTTTTAAATAAAACATATACGCCCGTCCTCTTAGCAGCATGAAAATAAATAATAGCCTCGAAAGTGCGAAAGACCGCTCACTTTACAATCACTAAAAAGCTGTCACTCATCTTAGTTTGCAATCTCACAACATTCCATTAAAATCAATAAAGTTGTCTACACTGCATAATTAATCTCTTATTTACATCGTGTAGTTGTTTGTTAATAAGGGAGGATTCGCGAGAGCGAGCTTATGCTCAACACTGAACAAAAACTCCGGTGCTTTAAGCGGTGAGTGGATTCTAACTTAAACACCTCCGATTGGTCATTGCGTTCAAGAGATCAACAAACATGTCTGTGATTGGCTAAACACGCTGTAAATAGGAACGTTTCACGTTCTCCAGAGCTCAAACTCAAAAATGCAATGGAGTGTTTGCTAAATCTGTTACGCCAATATTATATCATTACAGTATCAACTGTGGGTGCTCTAGCTTCGTTTCAGCATGCTTCTATTTAAAATTGACTTTGTGATGTTTTTAACCCTGTTTTATTTATTTAATCTATTTTAACAAAAAAATGATTTGTGATCAAACTAATTGGCAGACCCCCGGTTGAAGACCCTTGTTTTAAAGTATAATTTATTCCTTTGATGGCAAAGCTGAATTTTCAGCAGCCATTACTCTAATCTCCAGTGTCACATGATCCTTCAGAAATCATTCTAGTATGATGATTTGCTGCTCATAAAAACATTTCTTCTTCTTCTTCTTCTTCTTCTTCTTCTGTGCTGTTTAATATTTTTGTGGAAACACTGATACATATTTTCAGGATTCTTTAATGAATAGAAAGTTAAAAAAGAACAACATTTATTTTGTAACAATTTAAAAGACTTTTGATCAATTTAATGTATCCTTGTTGAATAAAAGTACTAATTTCTTTTAAAAAAATCATACTAATCACAAACTTTTGAATAAAACAAAAAACAAGTCTAAACAAAAAAAAAAAACAATATTAACAATGAACTAACAAACTAAAATTTTTTGAAGAAAAAGATTTAAAGATAGAATTGTTCTGAATAATCCAATCATAGTTAAAATGCACATTACAGTAAACTTTATAACTTTATTAGTAAACTTTAAGTCACGTTGTAAAAACACTCTTTCTGTAACAAAAAACTAAAACATGGACAATGAATATCTAAACATGACTGTTGTGACACATTTTGCACCATGTTTTTAAAACGCTGTGTCAAGTAAAACACTTGATAAACCTGCACTTTGTGCTATGTTCTTGTGCTCTGTTTCACTGAACTGATCCAAATCAGCATATAACACAACATTTTTAACTGTTACTTATTTAAATCAGCTCAGACTATAACATTTATCAGTAATAATATGTTCAGCCAAAAGTCTTAGAATCACAGCTAAGGAATCAGGCTTATCCTTCACAGCGTTTGCCCATCCTGTCAGAACCGTTTAAACTACTTAACCGAACACCCATTGGTAAGATGATGATATCAGATAAAAGACCATACAATTATCCCAGTACAGATCCTTCTTCAGTACTGAAGCTTCATGCATCACCCCAAACAGGTGGCTGACCTGCTGTAATTGACTCTTCACTGAGCCTGTGATTATAGCTCACACAGTTAAACATTTGCAGCAATAAAGACAGTTATGATAACAAGTTCAAACTGCTCAAAGAATGACACCCAGAGAAAGGCTCTGACATTGGGACTAGTGGACTAGGAGTGGTCGAAATGACACGCAAGCCGGGACAGAGAATTACCGCAAACCTCACGCTTTAAGTGTGTGCGTGCACGTATATGAACACATGTGTGTTTGTCCTTTTCCTTAGCTGCGATTGGACGAATAAGCCGCAACGCTCCCAGTGGCTTGTGAATTAGGACACTCACTTCCATAAATATTTCAGCCTCTTTCTTATATAGGTCAGCTTTCTGTCTCTCTCACTTTTTCTCCTCTTCTTCCTACTTCTCTTCTCCTTGCATGTCTTATCCTCTCAGACATCTGTTCTGTAGTACCTTGGTCACCAACTGTGTTGGGGGTTAAAGTAGAGTGATGGGAGATCTACGGAGTGAGCAGATACAGTGACGTAGGTTTCAATAGGATGCCATGCATCAATCAATAAATAAATATTTTCTCATTTTTAACAGTACAAGGTAACAAACATTATGAGTATAAAATAGGTGTTGTACAGTGGGTTTAGAAAAGAATCACCCCCCCCTTAAAATAATCAATTTTTT